TTTAATTTAAAAATCCCCTGCCAAAGATATGACCTTCATTTTTTCCCCATGAAAGGTCTTTTAGAGCCTGCCTGAAAAACAAATCCAGCTCACGTGAGAATGCAAATCAAGTTAGGGATTGAATAGCATATGCTGCTTACTGGCTTCATACAAGTTGGCTAGTGGAGTTTAGGTTGCCACAAACTTCGGGATACCCAAGAAGACCTTTTATTTCAAGCCCGACATGATTAGATGTTGGCAATTGTTCTTTAATAATTAAACAGGCCATCTGTAGGAGGCAGTGTGACCTTTCACCCGCGGTCTCTCACGCTGGTCTAGAATTTCTGCAGTTGGTACATATGCTATCAGAAACCCGCTGATGCTCTCCTTTGAAATATTAGAGGAGCGGGCTTAAGGCAGCTGTCCCTGGGCTGCCAGCTCTCATTGCGACGCAGGCTTTAAACGCCCTTGGCGTGTCGTTTTGAGTTAGCATACCTTAATCACGACTCTCGCCATAATATAATTCAGCCGATGCCTGAAACCCAATACAGTGGAACATTTGCTGAATGGCGCACTTAGCAACACTCACCAGCCAGAACGTATGTGTTTTCCATTGCTCTGTATGTGCCCTCAGAAATGTCATGCAGATTATAAACACTCCTTGTTCTGGAACAGCGGAATACCAACAATTTCCATTATGCTTCCCGCTCCCTTGTGAGGAATGTATAGGGACTGTGATGTTTGAAGAACTAGCTGCTCCGAGGCTTAGAGATTGATAGCGCTACTAAAATATTGATGTGAGACCCTGTCATTCTGTCAACGCAGTAATTAGACAGCTACGATGAGAACACTTGTCTGTTTGTCTTAAATGTCTCATCGGGCTCCTTCTGCAGCTTGCTGGGTCCTTTCACAATGGTCAGAGTGGAGGGAAGGACATCAGTTACTACAAGCATGGTTTCCGTGTGTCTTCAGAAGGGATGGAGGCACTGGCTGGAGCAGTACTCCCCTATTAACCTGCAGCAGAGGGGACCTCTCCATCTGTTGACCTTCGACAGGCTGTCTATCTACGAGTTCAGTCGTCAGGCTACATTTGAATGCCTTTAGGGTTGACCTTAGCGCTGCTTTTACAGATAAAGGTGACCCTCCACTTCCATTTAAAGCCTTTGTAAGGACTTATAGCCAAACCAGAGATCAATATAGTAGGCTTATTTTTTTTAAATATGCTTATATTTTGTTTAAAAGTCAAACAGCTAGGGGAGCAGTCCTAGAAAATGGTGTTCACATTTGCTCCTTACACATTAACAATCAGAGACCCAGAGAATCTATCTTATTCATTTTGCTGATGTAAGTATTGTTCAAAACTGGAGTTCAACCCGTTGAACGTGGGATAGAAGCTCACTGAGCATTAAGACACGTCATGAAATGGGTCACATCAACCCTTTTCCTCCAGCAAGGTATTAAACTGTGAAGATAGAAAATCAGATGCGTTCATGTTTCATTTCCTTAAAAGTGCTTACTTATGAGTTCCTCCTATCATGGGGTATGGGAGTTTTATCGTCATAGACGAGACATTGATAACTTAATCTTCGGTTAATATACGCACCAAGCATGTAAAGTAAATGCACATAATACAAACACAAAGTGGTTTTGTGAATGTGTAGGAGGGGATGCCGCTCTGGGTATGCTGGTGAATCCCTGGGGAAGCGTCCAAGTCCACCCTTCATCCTCTCTGCTCCGCCTTACCCTTTGCCGGCTGTGCTGCCCGAGTTTCTCCGCCCCTCCGCCTTTAACGGGAGGAGAGAGACAGAGAAGTCATGCTATGCGATTCCCCTACTCTATCAGACATGCTAATCTCTGCCGCTTTAGGAGCAGCCTCCCGGCCAGTCCCTGCTGATGGTCTCTGGCGGCATCTTCCTTCACTGTTTGTTACCTGTAAGTGTGTCACTAGCCTGTTCTTGTAACTCCTGCCAAACCTCTGTGTTTTCACTGATGCAGGGGGGTAAGAAAGAGCAAAGAGTAACAGAGACGCTGCTTCACCTTTACGCTTTGAGCTCATCCCCTCCGTGGACCAGAACAAACTGTTTAAACTAGAAGTCATGCCGTTGTTGTTTTCACCAACAGGTGGCGCCAGTAGTCACACCTAGACATTTATGGGCAGGATTTCTTCAGTTTGTCGACTAGTTCCATCTTTTGAAATTGTTTGGATATCAACTCTGTACCTGTTAAATGCAAATGTCTAAGAAAGGGCTTGGAAACTATTTCAATGAACACACATTTGCTTATGACTGAGGCGAGAACAGAGATTGTGTAAGAAGCAGGGAAAGAGAGAAGATTTGTACATTGCGGGGTGGGGACCAGGAATAATTTTGAAAGACAAAGAGTACAGGAAACAAAATGGAAAGCTGGATGATAACAGAGAAATCCTTCAAATTAGTTCACCACTATTATGGTGTGGATTGTGTTCCCTCCAGATTTGTGTGATGAAGTCCTGGCCCCCCCGGATGACAGTTTAGAAACAGGGACTCCGAGGAGCTAATTAAAGATATATGAAGTCATAAAGCAGGGTGCTGAGCTTTGAGTTCTCAGTCCTCACGGGAGAAGAGATGCTAGGGCTTTGTGGGCACAGAGAGAAGCAGACACGATGTGAGACCAAAGCCAGAAGGCGCTGCGCACATAGTTTAAAGAGAAGCCTCCAGAGAGGCCGTCCTTCCCAGCCCCTCCGGAAGGGCAACAAAGTCTGTGGTTCAAGTCAACGATTTGTGGTATTCTCCTATAGTTCTCCTTGAAGCCTCCAGTCACCAAGCAACCAGCATCCAGAGTGAGGCTAAACACCATTTCCCAGAACTTTCCTTTAGTGTTTGCGTTGGTTTGGGTCTTTTGAGATTCATCTGAGAGAGTACATAAGGATTATATGTACAAGATATTTGTTGGGGAAAGGTGGGACAAGGGATGATAAAGGGAAGAAAGCTCCAGAAAGTGAGAATCTTTGAGCACTCATACAGTTCTAATCTGTGAAGGGAGGAGAAAGAAGTGTTGGTTGACCGTGGTTCAGAGCACTGCACAGTTCCGGGGAGTCTGTTATCCAAAATCTCCCGCCGAAGGCTTTCCATCTTGGTGACTCACCATGTTTAGTCTTGACTGAACAATTCGCAGGAATCATAGCGCTGGGATGAAAATGTCGAGGAGTCTGGGCCCCAACAGCTGGAGCCATCCGTCACTCGAGCTCTGATCCGGGCTTTTCTCAGCCATACTCTACCTCAAGCTGGCGTTAGCAGCCATGGAGACCGAATCCTTCCAAGTCTGAAACCAGAGGAAACACACATCCTTGCCCCAAGCCTCTGTAAAAGCTCTGAGAGGGTCTTGGAATGGATACAATTCCTGGCTCAGGGATTGCCCACCCCTGAGCCAGGAAAAATCCCATGCCTTGCTTTTTTCCAGTCTAATATTTCAGGCTTCCCTTCGATGCTGAGTTGTATCATAAGAACTAATGGGTATCAAGAAACACATTTACTGAGATTATATATTCTATATCCCCAGAACACACTTATTTTTAAGTATTTCTTATTTCCTGTAGCTTCCCAGGGTGCTTTCCAAAGGCAGGAGCAATTCAGAGCTGTGCCAAAGGTAACTCTCCCCACATCCTCACCAGCTGGGTTAGTTTCCTTTATGAACGCCGGCTGCTTCATTGGTCTGGTCCGCCATGAGAGCTCGTGTGGTTTATTACAGTGACTCACAGTTGTCTCGTACTAGCGGCAATCTTTTTTTTCTTAGACTTTCTTTTCTTTAAATGGGCTCCTCCTATCTCTGCTCATTTTCCCATTTAGTTTTGTGCTTCTCTTGTTTGTAAAAGCACTTTTCATGTTACAACAAATAGTCCTCTGTTTGCTGTCAGCCTAACCAACAGGCTTTCGAGCGTGTCTCTCCGTCTTCTGCATTTATGGCCAGTATTAGATACTTCACTGGCAAGTCACAGTATAGATCAGTATGCTAGGAATATGGAAACGATCTTTAAAACCAAACCAAAATGGTCTTTACTTAAGGGACTTTTCCATCTCTCTGGCGTCCACCTCCGGTTCTCTGCAGTCACTCAGGTCAGTAGCGCTCAGGGTTCAGCATTCTGGTCCCACCTGTCCAACTCTTGCCCATATCCTTTGTGTACAGCTATTGTATTTCCGAAAGTTGAGTTTTTAAAGATATTTGCTTTAAAAGGCAAGTTTACATTGTTGCTATTCTATATTGTGACTACTAAACAAATGATTATGAAAATAAGAGAGGTTCATCCTTTTTTTTTTTTTTTTTTTTTTTTTTTTTTTTTTTTTTTTTTTTTTTTTTTTTNTGGTTTTTCGAGACAGGGTTTCTCTGTAGCTTTGGAGCCTGTCCTGGAACTAGCTCTGTAGACCAGGTTGGTCTTGAACTCACAGAGATCCGCCTGCCTCTGCCTCCCGAGTGCTGGGATTAAAGGCGTGCGCCACCATCGCCCGGCTGAGAGGTTCATCTTTGTATCATGTAAAACACACGCCTTGAGCAACTGTATCGGAGTAATCACCTGTTCCCAGCAAAGTCAAGGCCCAGACTGGAAGTTTTCAGACCATGTGTTTCGTGGCCTGCCGTGTACCCTCCTGAGAGGTACGAGAGAACGGGGATTCATTTACGTCTCTCCAGAAGGGCCAATTACTTTATATGCGACGGACACTGGAAATTAAAACGTACTCCTCTCATCAAAAATCAGCAGCATAGTGGAAAAGGCAGTAGGCTTCGGGGGCCGAGAAGGAGACTTTCCTCAGCTCCAGCGGACAGCAGGCCTGCGGCTCTCAGGGCTTGAGTCCGGTGCGCACCAGGAGGGCGGTCTCAACGTTCTCATTCCAGCCGTAACACTCCAAGGTTCTGCTGATGATGCTGGCGTGCAGGGGTCAGAACAGGACGGCCTGGGGCCCAGGGCTGGGTGGGGCCCCTGAGTGGGGTCCCTGCGCAGGATCTTCCTATAGAGTCCAGTGTCCTGTGTGCAGAGGCCGACCCAAGCCATGCGCTGGCTGAGGGTCTGGAGCCACCTTCTCCTGCCCTTGTTCCTCTCGCTAGCTCTCATCCAGCTGTTTATCTCCGACCATAAAAGTACGAAAACCCTCCAACTCTGGAACCGGCAGTTAGAAGCAAAGCACGTAGAAATGGGTGAGTGGCCTGTCACGCCAGGCAGGGTGCTGTGGCGGTGCCCCACGGGCTTCTCGGTTGGGGCATCCTAGCGGCCTCAATTGTTCGTTTCAATACTGGTCGTGTGGTGGTGGTGGGGGGTGGGGAGACATTTTTTTAAAAAAGGTTCTTTATGTTGTGAGGGAATCTAGTGACAACTGAACTCCGATTGTTCCCACTGCCTAAATTCTATCGATGAGAACCTGAAGAAGAAGCCGGCTATGCAGTTTAGTATAGAAAGACGCCAAAGAAAAGGGGCCGCTTTCTGTTTCTTGGCAGTCCCCCTCATTGCCATGGGGCCAGAGATGCCAGAAGCAGACTCTCGTGGGGGCTCTCATGCCTGATCTGGCTCTTACATGATTTTAGGGTTAGCTCTTCAGAGGGAGACGTGTCAGAGAAGCAGGGATGATGGGGCTAAGATAAAACTCCTTCTGGTCAAGAGACTGGAATTCCGGGCTTGGGTGCAGGGCTAGCAATCCATCCGAAGGGATCAACCACCATGCCAAGGGGCCAACCCTAGGAAGACGAGCTAGAGACAGGTGGATTGCTTAGTCTTTTCTATTTGCCCCTCCAGAATCCGTGCCCCCAGCGCAGGAGCTCACCCAGCTGCGACCATGAAGCTCAAGTCTGAGCACCTATTTAACTTGGTCTCCGCTTTCTCTTTTCTGAACACGCTTGCTCTAACACCGTGGGTTCCCCCCAACACCTCGGGCCCTTTCTCACGGTGAAGCTGTCTGTTCTCCGTGTGTCTGACCTCCAGGCTGACTCACACAGCTTGGGTTTTTTTTTTTTTCCTTTGTTGTTGTTGTTCTGTTCTTCATCGCCCTTTTGATAGCTACTGAGATTTATAGCTTGCCTGCCTTGAGTTTTGTTTTATTTTCTCTTTTCCTTTTAAACATGAATAAAATAGTTCTTGAGCCTAAATGCTTTGCAAATGCTATTAAAGAAGGCAAATGTACCAATATTAATATTAAATAAGAGAAATTTCAAATGAAAAATCAAACAGAGGAGCTGGTGCCGTTTTATTTTTACACACAGTACAATAAAAAAACATGACATCTTAATAAACTTTTATTTGCCTAAAATATATATATATATTAAACTGTACAGCAAAAGATATATTTTTAAAAAAATAATATTCAACAAATTACACGTTTGTGTGAGAAATCGACAGGTAAAGCAGAGAGGATTGGGGTCAAGAAGAGTTTTTTCCAGCAGAAGCAGGGACAGTTAGTTTATTAAGGCAAGATGCACTTAGCGCTCCAAAGAGCTGGTGTTTGTGCCAGCCTGCACATGTTTGGGTGTCAGGCGCATAGCATGATGCAGCTCTGGGCCTGACCTCGCGCGCTTCCTGTCATCGGCTTCTTAAGTCCCCACCGGGGACTGGGTTCTCTACTGTGAGGAACTAGACACCCTAGAGGGCCACCTCTGCGCTCTAGTTGGCCCTAGTCTCTGGGTGGGGGTGAGGGTGAGTGCCAGTGAGTGTTCTGGCCTTCATTTTTGCCAACTTGCTCTTTTCATATGCTAATTTTGCAGCCTCTGTGGAGGCCCCCAAATCTCATTGTCCGTCCCATTCTCTTGCCTCAAATCTGCCTTCAGGGCCAGGGTCTCAAAGTTCTTTGGGGGAGCTGAAAAATGACTTGTGTTTTAAATTATTTCTATATATTCTACACCACCACGTGAGGACAGCATCTAGGTGTATGTAAGCAAATAAAAAAGCAAGCTGTTTGAATAGGATGAATAGAGCTTGAAAACAGGAACAAATTGAGCAATAAATTCGCTTTGGTTTTAATTTTTATGCTTTTTATTTATTTTTTGTAGACTGTGCTCAAAAGCAAACTTGTCCATCGTGTACCCGAGACAAGAGAGTAAGTTAATTTTCTTATGAATAAATTGTCCTGGGAATGTTATGAATTCACATGCTTACAGTTGTCACCTGGAAGATGTGCTAAGTTTTGTTTCCTACACTTTGACAGCTGAAACAAATAATGACAACTATGAAGATATGTCCCTTTACTGTAAACCATCCTTTGTGGGTCTAAAAAAAATAACGGAAATACTTCAGTATAGACTTGTACTTCCATCTGGAAAATAATACATCAAAAAGAAAGCAAGGTTTTGCTTGAAAAATGAAATCATACCAAAATGTTGGAAGAATTTTTTTATTTATTTATTAAAGATTTCTGACTCTTCCCTGCCACCGCCTCCCATTTTCCTCTCCCTTCCCCAATCAAGTCCCCCTCCCTCGTTAGCCCAAAGAGCAATCAAGTTTCCCTGCCCTGTGGGAAGTCCCAGGACCACCCACCTCCATCCAGGTCTAGTAAGGTGAGCATCCAAACTGCCTAGGCTCCCACAAAGCCAGTTCATGCAGTAGGATCAAAAACCCATTGCCATTGTTCTTGAGTTGTTGGAAGAATTTTTGTAAACAAACAAAGCTATAGCTTTTGAAATATGGCAATATTTTCATTATAACCTCTAAAGGCTAGAAAGAATGGCACATGATCCATAACCTCAGCGTAATAAGGTCCCCTTCTCAGATGATTTTTTTTTTGTATAATTATTTTTTATTTCCAGCTTTGAAGAAAACAACAAATAAGTAAAAAAACAAAATCCCAACAGCGATGAAGCAGATAGTGTCCAATAGTGTACAGATAGTGTCCAATAGGAGATGATTGTTCATGTCCCAGCTGCCCAGACTCCAGAAATAATCACACAGAAACTGTATTAATTAAATCACTGCTTGGCCTATTAGCTCTAGCTTCTTATTGGCTAGCTCTTACATCTTAATTTAACCCATTTCCATAATTTTATATTTTACCACAAGACTGGTGGCCTACCGGCAACGTTCTAACTGGTGACTTGTGTTTTTCTCCTCTGGTGGCTCCATGGCATCTCCTTGACTCCACCTTCTTTCTCCCAGCATTCAGTTTAGTTCCACTGCCTAGCTCTATTCTACCCTATCACAGGCCAAGACAAATTCTTCATTCATTAACCAATAAAGGCAACAATACATAGACAGAAGGACATCCCACACCACACAGCTGTGTGGTAACACTTGAAAAGTCATTCAGGTCTACTCTCTTGGAGAACTGACCACACCACAGACAAGGGACACATTCTGGTGATGGTTTCTGCCACCGTGATCTAGATAAGTATCATTGGCCTCTGCTCTTCTTCCAGGTCACTCTTGTGCTTCAGTGAGGACCTGAGTTTCTGGCTCATTGAATTCTCCACTCTGTTCCCACCATGTTACCAGATTTCCTCAGGCACACACTGTCTCCATGTTCACTTCCTTAACTCTGCGGACTGAATAACAGGGATAACTCTCTGAGCCCTGAACTGCCTATGGTGCCCGCCATTTTCTCCTTTCCTGGCACTGTACCTATGCTTATGCCTCAACAAGATAAGTCTATCTACCCACCCTCCCACTCAGCCCTTTAGTCCCCTCAGTTTCCTTCAGGTGCTTGCCCCTGACCTCACCAGGCTCCCTTCCTTCTTGTGAATTTTAATACCATTCACCTAAATTAATCCTCCCACCTTTTCGTTGTTCATTGTTTTGCCATGCAAAATTTCAAGCATATAAAAGTAGAGGAAGCATACCTGTGGACTATGGCATGAGCTCCTTGTCCTTCGCTAGGAAACTGAGGTAGGGGCATCACTTGAGTCCAGGAGTTGAAGGCTAGCCTAGGCGACTACAAGGAACCCCGTATTTAAAAAACAATATAGGAGACAGTATAATAAAACTTTATAGCACTAAGGGTCATCTTGGGTAACTTTGTCTCATGAATGTCCCATCTTTCCAAGTAGATTATTTGAAGTCAATAATTATATGAATATCATTTTATTTGTAAATATTTGACCCTCTATGTATGTCTTCAATAAAAATTGAAGTATTACATTTATAATCACATCTGAAAATTAACAACTAAGTACCCAGTTACTTTTTTTGTTTCATATTTGTTTGTTTAATCAGATCCACATGCTGTAATTGGTTGAGACATACCTTAAGTCTCTCTGAGTCTATTCATTCTTTCTATTCTCCTTTTCTTTTATTGCAAATTATTTGTTACAGAATAGATTGTTGTCCTGCTGAGCTTCCTCTAGGCTGGGCTTTGCTGGTCACGTCCACATTACTAAGATGACTTTATTGTTATTGTTTCTCTTTCCCTGTTTTGATAAGGTTAGTAACTAGACAGAAAGGACTGAACACATTCTGTAGGTGCTTTTGGTGGTAATACCAATGCTGAAGACACATTAGAAGACGGATAGGACTGTGGTGTAGCCTTTGGTGATGTCAGCAGTAAATGATGTTCTCCTATATTGTTAACAAACTTGCCTTCCTGTTGGTCACTCACATTGCCCAGCTCTGATTGGTCTCTGATCCTCCTATGCTCCAGTGCGATGCATTATTTGCCGATTACTGCACAGACACACTACAACACAGCCCTCGTTAGTACAGCTGCTAAGGTCACCTGTCCCAGGTGCTAATTATTATTTGCTCTTTTGGTTAGCAACATTTCCTAAGAACGCCCACAGTAGTAGTTCTAGAACATTGCAACCATCCTTAAAATGCCAATATCATCCACACCCCTCACATCTCAATCTCAAAAGGTGACTTGATCTTTTAATTTTAAAGACAAAGACAGAGACTCTGGGTATTAGCTTCAATCACTGAATTATTATTCAGTTTTATTCAGAATTACATATGCTTATCATTTTTCCATAAAGGATAATACCTGCTATACTTCATAGGACTTACATGCGTCGTTACATTTTCTTTCATATGATATATATTGTGTTGTTCTTTTGCTGTCATATTTCCTATTCTCAGTTCCCTAGGACAAAGGCAGGGTTTTCGCCACCTTTGCGTCAACACACCTCACACACTTGCAGTGATCGAGTGGAAAGCATTGAATAACTATTGAGCTATTAGAAGACGCCTACACTGCATTCCATACACTCTCTAATGTAACAAGGTAGAGAGTTTTATCTTGAAACATTTCTACACACAAACCTTTATGACACATCTGGATATGGGTGTATTTCAGGGTGATCTGAGAGCGATTCCCACCCTCTCCTAGGATTAATGAAAGGGTAGCTATGCATGGTCAGTGTAGAATCAGGGTGCTGTCTTCGGCTTGAGGGAGGGATATGGTAACTACATCCCATTCAGGACTGAGCAGTCTAAAGCCCCCTCCCCACCCCCCACCCTCTCCTATTGTCCGGTTGTGAGTCTCTGTGTTTATTACCATCCACTGCAAGGAGAACATTGTTACGATGGATGCTCGTCCTGTGCTCTCTTACCGGAGACCCTTATGCCTACCAGATCTCTAAGAGTGATGCTCACGGCTGCTAGATTAACATTTCTTTCTTGGTATTTGTTTTCCTCACTTCAAACTTAAAATGCCTTTAACTAAATTGATCATTTTGTCTTCTTTATTCCTGGCATCATTCCTCAAGAATTCTAATTTTAAAAATCTTTGACTTCTTTGCCTTCCAGAAAACATGTCTATTCTTTTCTTTCCAATGGAGCAATCCTAGACATTGTATACTGCTACTCTATCCCTCATTTGCATACCCCTGACCTTCCAGTCTCTTCTCAAGCCTTAGTCATTATAATTAGATTTTTAATTAAGTCACCTTTACCTCCCAAATAATCCAATTCAGTCTCTATTGTTAAGTAAAACACAATATATGAACCCCTTAGTTGGACAGTCAAAGCCCATCACAATGCAAGAGACATCTATTTTTCTGAATGACTTTACAAAGACCCACCAGTACAGATTTTCACTTTGCCACCACGGTCCTTCTATTAGTGTTCTGCGGCATCTCCTGCATCTCTCCCCTTCCCTGTGCACATCTGCTTGTTCCTCAAGACTCATGCTACATCCTTCATATTGCTGGGAAGAAACCTTGTCTGGTCGTTCTGAATAGAAGGGATACTTTTTCCTGTTATCACATTTTAAAGGCTGATCATTTTGAAATTATAATATTCTTGCCTTCAGAGATGTGAATTTGTTTGTCTAAAGTGTGCACACTCCACCTTCCAGGAAGCAGAAACAATGCTTTGTTCATCTGTCCGATCTCTGCTGCACCTGGTGTGAACTTCCTTTTGTTCTTTGCATCCTAACACTCAATTTCTGTTTATAGTGTAATATTACACCCTTTTAAGCACAATATTAACCCAGCACTTATCGTCATCATGTACCTCTGCCCTTCCTGTATTTTACATTTTAATAATGTTTCCATATAAAATAGCGGTTGCCATATGTGCATAAAGTTGTTAAAATAGGTTCTGCTCCAAAATGAATATTCCAGCTGTCCCGTGGAGCAATAGTAACCATCACTCCAAAGCCCTTAGCTGGACTCTCAGCTGTCATATAAGAAGATGAGGTTGTAAAGCTCTCCTAGTTACACGGTTCACCCTCCTTAGCTACAAGGAAAACCTCATGTTATATTAGTTTTAAATTATACATTACCAATTTGGGACACTCAGTATATTATACCGTTACCCTGGGCAATGAATATGAAGTTCTGTGCTTTGAAGACTTTTTGGACATAGTTACAGTAGTTAAGGTATCTTTTTGTGGTTAAGTGGTAGAAACTCATCTCAAGCTGATTTAATAGAAGAGAGAATTCACGCCTTCATAAAACCGAGCGGGCGTGGCCTCATGTTCAGCTGACTCCCAAAGGCTGCCACACTCCCGTTTCTCCTCTTCCCTGGAGAGTGACCTCACTTTCTCCCACACAGCCTGGGTCTTCTCCAAACCAGCAAGGAGAACGATCACTGCTACAGCTCACACAACGTCTGTGGCTCCAAAGAGAGTACTAATTGCTCTTCTTCAGGTCAAACCAACACTGTAGACTGGCCAGAGGGATGAACTACCTTGAGTGTCACTGCCTGGGTCAAATAACTGCAACTGCTCTATATGCAAGAAAGGAACAGAGAAGAGCTGATTGACAGCTTCAGAGCCACACAGCATTGAGTGAAGACACCCACAAGGACAGAGGGTATAATTATCAGAAGTGGAAACACAAGATGTGTCAACACTAGACAAATCGAACTGCTTCCCTTTGCCCCATTTCAACCTCTGCCTGCTGAGGACATACGTGTCATTTTAAAAATGCCTCAGGCAAAATAACGCTCTCAGCCTCACTAAAAGTGACATTTAATCACAGTCACTGTGAGTTCTGCTCCCAGTTGAGTCTACAGTCTCACACAGACACGAACAAATCCTGTATTTGGAAATGAGTACCCATGAGCCACGCTCCCATCAAGTCAGCTACACAACGAATTAAACAACTCCCCAGAATCAACAGAAAAGGAAAATCAAGGTAACAATAGTAAAAGTGGCCATTCAGAAAAGAGGACAGTCATTAGCAGTATTGTAACGGAGTCTATGCTATGTGCTCATCTTGAGTTTCCCAGGCCGAGCAGTGAGCTCTTCGGCCAACACGTACATCCAAGTACCGCATCCTAAAGATCTCCATTTTCCAGAGGGAGATACTTTAGAGGATACTGTGGACCTGTGATGGCTACTGGGTCCTGTCAACCAGCATAGCACTTGAATAACAAGTTCATCTCTGCTAGATTCACATCCATCCTAGCAATTTCTCCTCAAACTGCTGTACACCATGAGCTTGACTCTTAGGAGCTCCGAGAACTAAGAGCTAAGGCTAGCTGCAGGCCCTTAGCGTTGAGTCTAGGCCCTGCCTTTGCAGTTCCAGTCTTTAGGCCATAGCCTAAGGTAACAGGTCTGTCGACCCAAGGGACACCATTCTCGGGTTTTCTTTAACAACTTGATCTGACCTTTGATCTTGGCAAGTATGGAAGAAAAGCTTCTCTGTGATTCTTCACTTCCATAGTTTTGGGGTGGCTGCAGCAAGGCGTGATGTGAGTGTATCTAGACTCACTCTCCCACAACGGTTTACAAGTTCAGAACCGGGCTGCCATCTTTACTGGCTGTGCAGTCCTATTATGCAAGTCATTGGCCCGTTCTGTGCTTTATTGTCCCCGTCTGTGTAGAAGCTAGAGTGAAATGAGTTAATTCCTATGGAAGACTTAGAACAGTGCCTGTCACGGGCTAAGTCCTGCGTGGCAGCCGTTTATCAGTCTGAACATCTGCAGAAAGGATTCATGTTTATCTTCTGTGTTCGTTTGCTCACGTGTACCACATGCTTGCCTGAAGCCCTCATAGGCCAGAAGAGGGAGTTAGATCCCCTAGACCTGCAGTTACCGGTGGTTGTAAGCCAGCTGAGTACTGGGAACTGAAACCCAGATCTTCTGAAAGAGTAGCAAGTCCCTTTAACGGTCGAGCAATCTCTGCAGCTCCACTCCTGGCATTTTTGTCTTCTTCCAGGGTCTGGTCTTTGCTCACACAGTTGTTCTCATCACTGGCCTTTTCTGCACCTGATGCTGACAAGGGTTTGCGTTCAGACTTCCTGTTTCCACAGGACCGTCTGATCATCACTGAGCAGATGGTGGCGGGAACTGACGCGAGGCTGATTGACAGCCAGCACGACCAATACCATCGTAAGAGAGACAGGCTCCACCCCCCCCAGGAGAGTAATTGCCGCAGTTTCAAACACTACCTCATGCGCTTCTCAACACTGCTTCCTGACACAGGTTTTGGGTTGAATCCTCAAAAATGCAGCATCGGAGAAAGGGATTTAAGTGTGCGTGACATCTGTGTGACTGAGTAGTAGTGAAAATTCCACGAAGGATTCCCAGGAGCCTAAGAGAAGGGACGAGAGGCAAGAAAAGATAAGAGCTCAGCATGTGCATTTGCCCTGACCTATGGATCACCTGTGGTAAAAAAAAAAAAAAAAAAAAAAAAAAAAAAAAAAAAAAAAAAGAAAAGCACGTAGCAGAGTAGTCTTTTAGCTAAAAGCAAAGATGTTCACTGGGACACTGTTTGAAGCTCTGTATCAGTCAGTCCATGAGGATAGGAATCTCAGAGGCAAGGTGGTCCCCAAGGGTAGATATTCCCAAAAGGAACTTGTGAACCCCTGGCAGCCAGTATGCACTGCTTCTGTTGTTTGAGAACACAGGTCTGGAGAAAGAAAAAGAAAAAAGAAAAAGAAAAAGAAAAAAGGCCCTTCACAGCCTCCAATGACTTCTACTACTAATTCCTTAACAGTGTTGCGAATGGTTGAGATTTATTAAAAAAAAATACATTGGGATTCAAAAAATGAAGATCAGAAAAACAAACGAGCCAACCACTAGAGAGACCTCTATCAAATCTTTAGACCAAAAGGGCAAGATCCTCTCCCCGCAAATCCTCAGACTCCACACTCCGTGAGTCTCTTTCTCTTTATATTCCTCTCTCCACCCAGTCACACCACTCTCGTCTGCACTTCCCTAGTGCTGGGATTAAAGATGTGTAGCTCCTAAACACAGGGGTTAAAGGTGTGAGCCACCACCACCTGGGTCTGTTTCTGGATCGACCTTGTGTGGTCCAGGGTAGCCTTGAACTCACAAAGATCCTGAGTCCTGGGATTAAAGGTGTGTGCCACCACTCCCTTGTGCTAGTTCTGCAAACCTGTGGGGCTGCGTCCCCAGCACCCCGGCCGCCTGCTAGCTCGTGCCCGAAATAACAACACACAAACTGTATTCATTTAAACACTGCTTGCCCGTTATATCTAGCCTCTTCTCGGCTAACTCTCGTACCTGGACTAGCCCATTTCTAATCATCTGTGTAAGCACCCCAAGGTGCGCTTACCGGGAAGATTCTAGCCTACGTCCATCCTGGGTCGGAGGAGCTTCATTGCAGGCATCTGCCCGGGAGAGCGGAGCATGCCTCTCTGAGGCGTCTGGCTCTGAGAGGAGCTGCATTACTTCTGACCTTACTTGTTACCTACTCTGACACCGCTTTATCTCCGCCTTCTACACACAGTGCATTTGGTGCCGAGAAGAAAGAGTCTGCAAAAAGTACTGCTTCCCATACTCTGACTGCAAATTCAACTCCATATTCTGGGCGAACTGCAGAGGTACGTGGTCCTCATTTCAATTTTTGTGACTTCATTGCATCTGACTTGCAAATAGTAGAGATATGCTACATTTGAGGGATTCAAAACGATTGCATTTGCATTAGTAAAAATTTTCTAGTCCAGGGCTGCTCTTCAGTGTTGCCCTCGTTGGTTGTTCTGGGTGGGATTGATTCAAAGTGAGTCAGACGGGACCCTTGCCGTAATACCCGGCAGTTAGGTTTCATTTGTAAAAATCTCTATTGTGGGACGTTCATAACCTAGTTAAGGGATGTTTATGTTGTGATGCTGTAGAAACTCTTGACTCTGTGTGTGTGTGGTGTGCACATGTGATTGTATGTATGTGTATGTATGTACATATATGTACATGTTAGTACTGCAGATGTTCTGAGCCGAGTGGTTTTACTGTAACACACTTCCTCGGCGAATGGAGTCTGTCTGGAGAATGGTGACTCCTTCAGATAGCAAATCTCATTTACCAAAAAAGTATCTTTCTATTTGTAATGTCAAATTTGGACATGCTATATGGTAGTTACCAAAGCAGGAAAAAAAAAAGTACTAATATTTTTCAATGAAATTTCTAGAAAAGCTAAAACAGGTGATTTTCCAAGTGAGCACGACTTTGGTAAGAAAAGCCCCTCTATCAACAAGTTGTCTGATGTTTTTCTTAACTGAAATGAAAATAGACTGCCTAAGTCTCTGCTTGCTTCAGGTTCTCTGGGTCTTTTAAATCAACTGTATTTGGACCTTACAAAGACAAACACCTTGCGTTCACTAGGAAGAGAAACTCTGGTCTCCTATTTTGTGTTTTCCCTTCTAGTTCATCTCACTGCGTCTCAGGCTAGTAAGCTGTGTGGTCTGAAGGAGGGGAAGGTTCACCAGAGTAGACATCTGCTCCTCCAGCCAGTGTGGGCTGTCTCTGATAACAGAACACTGGTGCTTCGGCAACAGCCCAGTCCCTGGTGTCTACAGGCACCTTCCCAGAAATGGCAGTCTGGGCATTTACTGTCTTACCTGCTGAGAAAGTACCAGAAATGAAACAGAGGCCAAATACAGGGGAACTGGTGCAGTCGGCTGCTAAGCTCTTTCCAATGTGGGTTTCAGCAGTGACTGTCATATTAATGGTGGCCTTAGGACACGCAGGGCATGCTCTTGTAGCCTCATTCCAACAGAGATCTGAGAATGTGTATCAGGAATTCAGATTGCATGGTACTAGAAGAGTTAAAAACATATGAATTTCTTGATCTGTTTTTAAAATATGTCTCTTTTCATCAATTTCAGTTGACCTGTTTGGAATCACGATGCTGATACTGGTTGCATTATTAGCAGTAGGATTCTTGTGGTATTGCCTCGCCTACCACTTATACATGCAGGAGTATGTCGTTTTACCCTTCCTAAGAGTCCGCTTTGGGATGGTAGCACTGAAAAAAAAATACTAAGACAGTTAACAGGAAGTGTTTAGCTAAATGCTTAATGAAAATACTGAAAGGTATATACACTGTTATAAGATGAAAAGAAAGACTAACCAAGTTTCCTGTCCCACCTCCACCCCCAGCATGCCTCTGCTGAAGCCAGCATGGCTCTATGCCTCTGCTGAAGCCAGCATGCCTCTGCTGAAGCAAGCATGCCCCTGCTGAAGCCAGCATGCCCCTGCTGAAGCCAGCATGCCTCTGCTGAAGCCAGCATGCCTCTGCTGAAGCCAGCATGCCCCTGCTGAAGCCAGCATGCCCCTGCTGAAGCCATCCTGCAGTGTGACTGTTTGTGGTCCTGCTGATTACCTTCATTCGCTGAATTACATGGCTGAATGTTTCATACTGCACTGACGTCACACACTATTACACTTAGCACCCCATCAGGAAATCTGAATATTTCATCTTGTGCTAGCCCGATAATCGCTGTTATTATTTTGCTATTTTATGTGCTATTTTGAGATTTTTAGCAATTTTTTCTTGTTTTTAGTAACCTAAAGGTTACAGTATTTATATATTGCTTATCTTTTGGAATTTACTTAGTCCATTTAATCCTCTGTTTTTATAATAAGATAAGAAAATTTGAGGGCCAGGAGTGGTAATGTTCTCCTTTAATCTTTTATTGTTGCTTCCCAAGGAAGAGTTTAGTTTCTCTGTAGCCCTGGCTGTCCTGGAACTAGCTCTGTAGACCAGGCTGTCCTGGAACTAGCTCTGTAGACCAGGCTGGCCTCTACCTCCCAAATGCTGGGATTAAAAGTGTGTGCTACCGTGTCCTGCAATTCTCCTTTAATCTTAGTACTGAGGAAGACAGGCAGGGCTTCTCTGAATTAGAATACAGCCTGGCCTACATTGTTAGACCTTGTCTCGGAAACGTATTTTTTGACTCCCCGCATTCCTTATCGTTTATCCTCTCTTCCCTTGAGCCCCGGTTCTGTAAGCTTTCACACTCATTTGGCTTTATGGAGAAGTTACTTTCCATTTTGCGACTGTAATTGTAATTTTCCACCTCAGAAGGCTCCCATTTCAAGTCTGAAATTTTAACTGTTCAAGCGACTGGATAATTCACACACGAGTGAGTAAACATAGCGTGCAAACTCAAAAACGGAAGAGCAAGTACAGTTCCACACCACCAATCCACATCGCTTGAGGGAGAAGCAGCAGTGTCCAAGCCGATGGAATTCTCTTTCTTAAATTTTCTTTCTTAAAATTACTCTCCGTCTTAAAACCACGCCTCGCTTCATATATGTTCTGTATCTTTCTTAGTTTGCCCCTGTTTTTCTAGGAGTTTTACTTTTTTTCCCGTGGAGTTTTGAGATAGCTTCACTATTTCTAGTCATCAAACATGAAGCCAGGCCTGGTGCCAACACGCCTTTGATCCTGGCACTCGGGAGGCGCAGGTGAATTAGGGTACTAAGGTCGGCCTGATCTGCAGAGCAAGCTCCAGGATAGCCAGGAGAGAAACTGACTCTATCTCAAAGAACCAACCAACAAACAAAAAATATCCTTAGTCTAATAATAATAATATTTGTTCTAATAATAATCACTTATCTTTACATTTGACAAAGTATTTTTCCTATAGTTATTCTTCTGAAGCTCTCCTGAGTGAGTTTTTAATTAAGTTGGCATACACAATAATAATTTTCCTATGACATTTTTCATAAGTATATGTTATTATACTTTGTCCTTACTCTCCCCCAGTGTCTTCCTCTGTTTCCCTTACCTGGCTCTTTCTCCCCCCCCCCCCCCACCCATCCAATAGACCTCCACTGTGTTTGCAAGAACATTCTGTTCTAATTCACAAAAACTACTTTCTTTTCACAACTAAAGTAGAATATTTTGGTTCCCTGTCTTCCTCTGTTTCGAGTCTTTTCCTTTTGTTTCTTCTCCTGGAGAATAGAGTGTCTTTTTCCAAAGTGGCTTTGCAGAGCTGGAAAATATTCATACAGCTCATAGTTCCTTCCCAATTTCTCTTTCTCCACTCTTTTATAGCTTGGCATGGTTTTTTTTGTCAGATTATATGCCTTTTATAAGATAAGATAGGAAGATAAGACAGGTAGAAACAACTAAAAATAGATGCATACAAATAGCCTTATCTGCATGTAAAGCGATTTATGTGTCTATGTGTACACACACACACACACACACACATATATAAAAGGTTGCCCAAAATACAGTTTGTTTGTTCAGCACCCCCATTTTGTCTAGGAAATTATATTTTCCTGATGTCGGGGTTTGTGTCCTTCCCTTATTAACATATAACACTTTGTCAGTAGAAGACAAAGTAAGATGGCCATATCCCTTTCCTCTCAAAAGCAAAAGAATAATTATGAGGAGAATGATGGGACACAGTACATGCTTAGCAAGAGGCTCTTTTTTTGTATTTTCTTTAAAAGATTATGGTGTATTATAGCATTACCTTTTTGTGTAGTGCTTACGAACACAATAACAGACAACATGCATAGGAACAGAGGCCATAGCAAGCGCCCATTGCTGAAGCTTCTTTTATTTCCATTTTAAAAAATGATTTGGAAGCCGGGCGATGGTGGCGCACGCCTTTAATCCCAGCACTCGGGAGGCAGAGGCAGGCGGATCTCTGTGAGTTCGAGGCCAGTCTGGTCTACAAGAGCTAGTTCCAGGACAGGGACCAAAAGCTACGGAGAAACCCTGTCTCGAAAAATCAAAAAAAAAAAAAAAAATTTGGAAATGCGATCTGACAACTGATTTGGTTCTGGTTTAACTTTGCTGTCCATCCCCAGTTTAAATTTCTTTTACAGACATTCTCTACCTTTGCTAGTTGAGTGGGCAGAGCGTTCATGAGAGAGTATTCTATAAAAAGAAGTTGTTCTTGATCATCCAGCCATCCCAGCTGGATTCTAGAGGCGATGTGGCTCAGCAGTAGAGCGCTTGCCTAGCATGCAGAGGGCCTTGGGTTCAAGTCTCAGCACTGAACAGAGGTTCTAACAGAAACATCGGTCTTTACCTCAAAAATGCTTGCTCTCTCGGGTGGTGGTGGCACACACTCTTAATCTCATCACTTAAAAGGAAGAGTAAGGCTGATCTCAGTGAGTTCAAGGCCAGCTTGGTTTACAAAGCGAGTTCCAGGACAGGCTCCAAAGCTACAGAAAAACCCTCTCTCAAAAAATAAAACAAAACATTAAAGTTTTAAATGTTAATAACACATAGATATTTGATATACTTGTTTTCTCAAATGATTGTTCTTTATCAAAGTAGTTATTATGTGATACGCACTCAGTATCCATGTCACTAGAGACATTGCGCGGGAAAGACCCATACTTTGCCTGCGTGTGGGACAGAGAGGAGTAGAGAAGCAATGGTTGGTTTTATTGTCAATTGATTTTTATGTGATGTTCCATTTAAATCACTTGTATTTTTCTTAATATGCACTGGTTCTCCCGATGCATTTTAAGAGATAAGAGAATATTTCATGTTAAGAAAGCAACTCTAACTATACTCTATACCATGACTTAAGATAATTTCGACTGTAACCAATCTTAAACTTTAAATTCACCACCATTTTTGAACAGGCGGCAGGCCTTTTATTATGCAAGAAATGGACCAGTTCCTGGTTACGGCGACGGGAATGCTATTGGCAAGTGCTTTCTTCCATTTGATAGGCTACCCCAGACTTTTTCAGTGGCTGACAGCCAGAAGTCAGGCTCTTACTGTAGACCCACAGAGCTAAGGTCCTTGTGGGAAACGTGACAACAGATGTCATTATCCTCATTTTGAAAAACATATTAATAATTCAATAGTTAGACTAGGATTTGCAAAATAGTAATAGAAATGACCATCAGAGTACTGGCAGGGGAGTGCTAAAAATTTTAAACTATTTGGGGATTTAATTACTTCCCCTTTCCCTTCTTTACCACTTAACTGAGGAAACCCAAGGAGACCTTTGTCTTCAGGAATTCTTGGGGATTTCCCCCTTCCTCTCACCCAGTCCTCCAGGTTACCCATTGTGCAACTCTTTTCTGGGTTCTTCAAACTTCCCTTAGCTCCTCCCTCAAGTGTGGCTTCCTCTGGCTGGTCACCTTCATCTACACAAGGCAGAGAATAAACAGGTCTGAGGAGTAAGAAAACATGGGGTTTATACAATGTTATTTAACAAAGCGTGGGGGAGAAAGAGCAGTCCTGGCCCACACTGAGTTCTTGGAAAATGTATCTGGATGATTTCCTGGCTTAGGGAGTCACTGAGCACCACTGATTTTCTGTCACTGAGGACAACGAGTCCGGTGGTTTCCTCAAACCCTTGGCCTTTTCCCGCTTTGTCAGATTCTCACCAGGCTAATGCTACCCTATGTTCCTTGACTCCTAAATATTCAATAGCAGTAGCATTAAGATCACAGTAGTGTTTATGGCGTCCATGGACGTTTTATGGTTGATGTATTTAAAGATTAAAACCGTTTCTGGATTTTGTTAAAGATCTTTGAGAAGGTAAATTTATTTCCTTTTCCATAGCATATTAAGAATAAATAACTGAACAGACAGCTCTTTCGGAGAGAGAAGGTGAACGTTCTTCAATGGTAAGCTTCTTAGCAATACTGCAGAGAATGTCTTTACCTGGCCCATTTGTAGGAAACAGCTTTTCAGGAATGCATCATTAGAATTATCGAGAAAGGAACACTGACTCTGTGAGTTCCATAGACAAATTTCAGTCCCCGCATTGAAGGGCATTAAACCCCAAGGCAAGGGAAGAAGGAGCTATGCGAGTCTCTTTTTATATTTGTAGATAAATTTAAAGGAAAGACAATAAACGCTATTGAGGAAAAACAAAGCATTGATCTAGCAATGGCAGAAACAGGAGGTAAAGAGTCCAGGTCCAGAGGAACAGGAAAAGAGAAGGAGAACAGCCACGTGGGGTGCCGCTCCCTGAAAGAGGCCCACAGGCCTGCTGGATTTCAGCAGCGGCGTTGGCAGGAGTCCCGCGTGTAAGGGGCAGGCAGAAACAGTCTTGGGCGGAGGCAAGAGTCGAACTGACACAGAGACGCCGGAGAGAGAGCACAGCAAATCGTAGAAGGAGCTCTGGAACCAGCCAGGCCTTCGGGGACTGACCTGGCCCATGGAGAGACAGCGGTGTCAATCATTAGATGCCCGATGCAAAGCACAAATGAGGTCAGTTTGCAAAAAGGACCTGGCGTCTGGAAGAATGAACGCCTTGTCCCTGGAGAAGGAAGACACAGGAGTGGTGTGCGGGGGTCCGCACCGCAGCAGCTGGCATTGATCTAGGCCAGAGGTCCTCATCCTGTAGGTCGCTACCCCTTTCCAGGATGGCCAAGGATCATCAGAAAACACAAGAGATTTACATTATGATTCACAACAATAGCAAAATTAGAGTTATGAAGTAGCAACAAAAACAATTTTGTGGTTGGGGGTCACCACCACATAAGGAACTGTATTGAAGGGTCGCAGCATTAGGAAGGGTGAGGGCGTGATGGTAGTGCTTTTGTACCATCCATGAAGGCACACGCTTCCTTCCCCTTTCAGTATTTTCTTTAAAGCCTAAGTGTGCTGACTAGTTTTTGATCAGCTTGGCATAAGCTAGAGTCACTGGAGAGGAGGGATTCTCAATTGAGAAAATGCCCCATAAGATCTATTTTCTTACTTCGTGATTGATGGGGGAGGACCCAGTGCATTGTGGGTGGGCCACTCTGGGCTGGTGGCTGAGCAAGCCAAGGGGAGCAAGCCAGTGAGCAGTACTCCTCCATTACTAAGCATGTGCCTCCAGGTTCCTGCCCTGCTTGAGTTCTTGTCCATACTTCCTTCAACGATGAACAATGCTGTGGAAGTGTGAGCCGAATAAACCCTTTCCTCCCAAGTTGTTTTGGTCATGGTGTTTCATCCCAGTATAAAAACCCTAGTTAAGACACTAAGTAAAGCTTTAAATTTCTTCCAATTTTTTAAAAATATTTATTTATTTATTATGTATACAATATTCTGTCTGTCTGTCTGTCTGCAGGCCAGAAGAGGGCACCAGTTGTGAGCCACCATGTGGTTGCCGGGAATTGAACTCAGGACCTTTGGAAGAGCAGGCAATGCTCTTAACCACTGAGCCATCTCTCCAGCCCCATCTTCCAATTTTTTTTTTTTTGTCATTATTGAGTTGATTTTTCTTTGAATTGATTCCATGCACAAGCTGGGCCACATTTGACCTTTGTAATATTGAAGTTTAGTACATTGTAGAATGGAGTTATTGGGGTAGTTACTGAAAAGTAAATTTATGCAGCAATATAAGATGGGGGATTTACCAGGAAGCAAAAATTTTCAGCTGGGATATTTTGGGAAAAGATTGAAAGCGGATGTGGTGGCTCAGAATGGAGAAGAGAAGATGAAGCCCAGAAGGTGAAGTTTTCACCTAGAAAAACAAGAGAGAATCGGCAAACTTTGCATCAGCCTGTGGGAGCTTTCTGATCGTACTGAGAAAGCATCCACACACAATCAGAGATGGAAATACGAGTCCGTGTTCCAACCGAGTGCATGCTTTTGGTGCATGAGCCACGATGTGTGGACACATTGTTCAGATGATCAAAAATGATCATTTCAATGTAATCTTATAACGATATTTTCACTGAAAAGTAGAATTAAAGAGAAACTTGTCCAGGCCTTGGCTGTCCGTAGATAAACGGATGCTGTGGAATTATACACTGAGCATGCCTGAGCCTAATGAACACACTGTGGTTGGAAATCACGAAGAGCGACCCAAGCTCTTGTTTGCTCTGGTAGTTGGTACCAGTTAAAGACACTGGGTGAGCCGCAGAATGACAATAGCTTCGTTAACAGGACTCCGCAAATTCGATTATCATTGTCTGAAATGCTGGCATTATGGTAGCTGTGATGAAACGGTTCGCCCTTCCTTCACTCCCCAGCGTTCTTCCTCCACGTGGATGTTAGTTACCCATTTATAACGCATCGCAGGCTGGCTCTCCTCACTGGGGAGCTCTGGAAACCAGCACTGTCTTAACCAGCAGTGCGATTTTTGGGGTAATTTATTTGGAATTCATATATATATATACATACATACATACACACACAATCTTAAAAAGCAGTAGAACTTATCTAATCAAGTAATAGACACTGGCAAAACTGAATAGCAGTTTTGATCAAGTCATGTCAGGTAAAATGATGTGTATTTTAAGGACTTTTTCATTGTCTCAGTAGCTCCTAACATACATATATGTTAGCCATACTTATTTTCGTTAAAACTTTCCCCAGTTTTCCACTTTTCTGAAATTATATTCTTTTTTTTTTTTAAAAAAAAACCTTTTTAATATTTATTTATCACGTACACAATATTCTGTCTGTATACCTGCAGGCCAGAAGAGGGCACCAGACCCCATTACAGATGGTTGTGAGCCACCATGTGGTTGCTGGGAATTGAACTCAGGACCTTTGGAAAAGCAGGCTATGCTCTTAACCTCTGAGCCATCTCTCCAGTCCCTGAAATTATATTCTTATACTAAATTAAAACCTGGCGGTTAGTTCTGACTCTGTAGCTTCCTTTCTCCCCTCTGTTCTTTGTGAATAATGTTTAGTTCAAGATTCCTTTGGGGGATCAGACTGGTGCCTACTTATTTCTGTGGGTTGCATTTTGTCCTGACTCTTCCAAGTCATTTGAATACAATAGAGGATAAAATAAAACTTAATGATTTAATGAAGTTAATAATGATAAACATTAACTGCAAATCCCTCATATGTTCTTGGTCAATTGTTTATATAACAACTTATTTATATAAACATTAACGTTAAGCTTATTTTCATGCAAAAATCCTTCAAATTCTTTTCTTTCTTGAAAGAGATGCATATTTTGGATTTATTTTTATTTATTTATATATTTAGTGTGTGTGTGTGTGCTGGTGTTGGAAACCACTTGGTTCTCTGCAAGAGCAATAAGCATTCTTAACCTCTGAGCCATCTCTCCAAGCCCGCATCAAATTCTTGTGAGAAACAGCAACTGGCCACATTATTTATATTGAAGTAATTGGAATCACTTCTTATTTTATTCCGTATAAAGACCAAAGTTAATCAAATATTGGATAGGAATAAATTTTTATATAAATGTAAATATTAGTCCTGTAGAAACAGCTCCTAAGTGAATGAAATGAAATCGCATAGGCAGACTTTATGAATAGCTTTGAGTGACAAGCGCTGTCTGAGGAGGGAGGGGTGAGGGGTGGATGGCGCTGCTCTAGAATCAGGTTTCTTAGTGTTACGTGGAATTTACTAATTCTGAGACATCTAAGGCGATTGTTCTGATTGCTGGATCTTGAGTTCTTACCTGCGGGGAAGGTAGAAGAACAACTTCGCTAGGAAAGTGGGGAGTAACGTTAAAGGAAACGGCCCTCGACTCTAACTCACAAGCAGTAAAGGGTGGCTCCGGTCAGGGAAGGACGTAGTCTGAGCTGGGAAGAACTCGGGTTATCTTTGCTTCAGTTAGTTTTTTTTTTTTTCTGTCTGTTTTGCCGTTTAGGAGAATTTAGCACACCATTGAATTCTCCCTGAATTAGAGGAGACAATGTTGAGAAAGTTGTCTGAGGAATAAATACTATGTGTAAACTACCGTTTGGAACTGATACATCGGGTACTCTATAAATGACGCTATTTTAGCTATGTGAGCCTATTATGCCACTGTAATTCTGGGAGAACATTTAGAAGAAACATTAAAAGACACTTCAATCCTTCAAGGAACATAAAACTTTAAGACAAGCTCATACAATACCAACTGCATTCTGGTAAAGTTCCATGACGAGGTTTATAGGTGCCCAAGGGTTGGGTTAAAGGGTAGAGAATGTATGCAAGTGGGGTTGGGTACCGCTTAGAGCAGGTAACCATGGCAGCCCAGCTAATCGGGATTCAGCATGGACGTGACTCAGGGACCTGCTTCTAGATGCCTACCTCTCAGGCAGAAAGGACACCTCCGCCAATACCTGTGGGCACGGGGCCCTGCTCATTGCCACACACATTGCTTCCCGGGACCTGAGCTGTCATTCATGGTACTGTGGTTTGAGAAAGGCACTTGGTCCTGATCTGCAGTAAACCTCGAAATCTACACCTAGGGACTTAAGCATTGTTTCATAGGTGACGGCCATACACAATCTTGAATGTGAGGGAATGTGAAGTTTCAGTGGGTAAGAGGAAGCAACCACATTTGTAAGTGAGTGCACTTTGAGGGTGTTCCGGAAGGGTTAGGGGTTTTAGGTTAGGAGTAAAGAGGAGAGGTTGAGGCAGAAAGAATAATTAAAAGGAGCCTGCCAGCCGTTAAAATGAGCACCGGAGAAGGCCCAGATAAGGGTGTGAATAAGAAATAAAGCCCAAATAAGAAAGATGTGATTACGTTTGGGGTCAGAAGAGGCAAGCCCACTTGATCAGTCATGGAGTAGCAAGGGTTGATCAAGGGAGCTATGGAGAAACGCTTCTAGCTTGCCTGCTGGAAGATAAGGATGCTGTGAATACGAAGAAAAGTCAGGGATGATGAGGACGTTTCCATGAAAAGAGTGGATTTTCTGAATTGTCCCCAGGCTTATTAAAAATACTACAGGACAGATTCAAAAGGCTGCCGCTGGTGGTTTGAAATCCATCCCAGCTGAGTGACATGTAGGTTGGAGAGACTGTGTTAGTCCAGAGGCCTCAGCATTTCCTTGGCTGCGTCGCGGTCTACCTCAGGGAGCTGGGACTGAGACCTCAGGGACATAACTATCTCGCCTCTTTCCTCTTCCTGCAAGTTGAAAGAAATACCAGCGGCAGGATCTCCCTAGGTCTGTGTCCTCAGTCGTGACATAGCCTGCTATCCCCTGCACACGCGCACACACACACACACACACACACACACACACCCTGCACGTGTACTACTTCTGGAGGGTGACCCAAACTGTTTTCTTCACAGTCCCCCGCCCGTGGTGGCGGTCCCGGCGAAAAAGACAAAAGAATAAAATTCTTAC